CCAAAACCCCTAAAGTCATAAACCCTAAGCCCTGAACCCCTGAAGCCACAAACCCTAAAACCCCAAGACCCCTAGAAGCCTCGAGCCAGAGCTTGATAGCTGCCCCCGAGTCTTCAAAGGACGCCGAGGAGAAGTCGGAGGAAGCCAAGGCGGTGACCTCGCGCCTCGACCGCTGACTCGCTTTAGGGCTTAAGGGTTTAGGGGATAGGGGTTTAGGGTTTAGCGTCTAGGGTTCAGGGTTTAGGGGTTTTCTTTTGGATGTTTTTTGGAGGGTTCTGAAGCAGAAGCCAGAAGTTTGGAGCATGTTAAAACCCTAAACCCTACACCGTCTTTTAGAGTATAGGAAGTTCCAGCTCAACTCATCAGGAGGTTTTTCGGGTCAGGGGGGTTCCAGGATTTAGGGTTCCAGGGTTTACAGCCCCAAGTTGGGGCTCCAGGCGAGGTGCAGCCTTGGGGGGCGAGAGGAAAAGAGTCCCTAAACCCTAAACCCTAAAGCCCCTAAATCCTAAACGGTTTAGGGTTCAGGGTTTAGGGTCCCCTACACCCGAAACCCCAAAGCCCCTAAACCCCGCCTTCCATCTCTGACAAGGCTGGCGCAGGTAGGCGTTTCGTCCTTAGGTCCCAGGATCCGAAATCTGTGATCCTACTGCTTTCGGCTCCGCCGCTCTCGCTAGGGTTTGGGGGTGGGGTATGGGCTGACATCCCGACCAACCCGACAGATTGTACACCCAAACAAAAACAAACAAACAAACACACACACACACACACACAAACGCACGCACGCACGCACGCACGCACACACACACACACACACGAACTACAAGGCGAAATGGGCAGTTCCACGTCAGGTCTTTCGCAATCCTCTGAGGCACCTCTTGAATAGACCTATTGTGGACCTCGCATGCCGTTCCCGGACTCCAAATCTTTGAGGCTTTAGCTCTGATACAATCCCGAAATCCGAAACCCCTAAGCACAACCAGTGCTAGACCCGAAACCCTAAACCCTAGAACCAACCCTACTAGTATTTTAAACTATAGAACCCTTAAACCCTATTTTCAACCATAGAACCCGAAACCCTAAACCCTGAACCCTAAACCTAAAAACTGAAAGCCCTTCTGCACCGGACCGAGGCTGGCGGATGCCGAGTTGCGAAAGGCCGGTTGGCTGCTCCTGTTGCTATGAGTGACCTAGGGGCCTTAGTGTCATTGTGCTTGTTAAGGGGTCTGAGGGTTTTTTTTTGTCCGTCCCTGAATGGGTAGGATACAGGGCCTAAGAAAGGGGCCTGAATATCTAGAATAGGGGTTTTTTGGGGGGTGTATTATACAAAAAAAAACGATAAGGAGCTCCCCAAACCCTCGTCTGACTCTTAAGGCCCCTTATATTACTGGCTGGCTGGTTTAGGGTTTAGGGGTTTAGGGGTCGGCAGTCACGGCTTCATGAGTTAGCATGTCGGGCTTGTCGTAGAGCAGATGGACTCTGAACTGTAGAACCCTACAGAACCCCCAGAACCCTAGAGCCCTTAACCCTCAAAGGGCCCCCCCAAAGCCACAGGAGAGCCCCCAAGCCTGGGTTGCTGTTTAAGGAGTTTAAACTAAGTTACTAGAATATGAAACCCGATCGTTGGCTACAGATATCCCCATTCTGGTAGCTTAAGTTCCTTAGCAACAGCCCAGAAGCAGGTCCTGGAGGAGTCCAATGAGGCTGCCGAAGAGGCCCTCGCGGCGGCGGAGGCCGGGCGTTTGTTGATTTTGGGACTCTAAACCCTAAACACCCGGGCTCGTGGCCAGGGAGGGCCCGGCGGAGTTCTGCCATAAAGACCTGCTTATACCCCTATCGACATCCTTGAGTGTATGCACACATGCACATACGTAGATATAGACTTTTCGGTGTCTGTATGCACAAGTATGCACATACATACATACATACATACATACATACATACATACATACATACGTACATATATACATACATACATCTCTTCCAGACGCAGCGAGGAGTCGTTGGCTTAGCAATCGTAGCAGTATTATTTTGATACCACCTCAGTGGGTGCTTCAACTACTGCGGTGCACTACATCAGGCCATATGGCCGTCGATGTACCAGAACAGCCAGGTCAGAAGGAAGTCAACATGCGGCCTGAGTATCTTTGCAGAGTACAAGGTAGGAGCAGGTTGAAATGAAAGAGTGGATGCAAGCTGCTTGTGAGTGGGCACAAATGGCCTCTGTGCCATCATCTGCATGCCCCATGCATTTTTCACCCCTTAGCACGCTCCGGTGATGTCCAGATGTGGCAGTAGGCCCCAAATGGGTGACAACCGCTGTAGCCTGGGATGGCAGGGAGACTTCGAGCATGTCATCGGTAACAAACACAGGGACAGGGATCTCAGACAGGACATGATCAATGGGTTTGGAGTCCTTGTTGTAGCATTGTGGGGACCCCGATCCCCGACCTTGAAGCGAATCCTGGGCATGCCACTGGTCAGTACAATCTTGAAACGTGTGGGCACCTGCTCTTATGGCCAGTAGCACAGGCCCCACCGAAGAGCCAGAGTCCATGACACACACATGGCTCCTTGCACACGTCGCCGTGCCTGCCATACACCGCGAAGGCGAGGCACCCTGAGCCCCGGAAGGGAACTCAGCAGCATCAGACTGACGGTTCCAGCCGATTAACAAGCATGACGCAGGGAAAACACCTGCATTCGAGTGAAGGCGTAAAGCACGATGCACCGGCAAGAGAGCACCCAGATCAGCCTGAAAACCTGCAAGATGATGCAGCACGGCATGAACCATGCAGTTCATGTAATTTGAAGTGCCACGCGGGTTTGCAAGCCGTACCTTGGCAGGGTGGATGCCCAAGAGCGGTGCAGGCCATGCATCCCCGACCAGATCCTCTACCAGCTCTGCTGCCACAGATGATCCTTTTGATGGACTGCGCCAGCTGAGACTGGATGGGGCGATCGGCGGAGACGAGCCGCAAGCAAGTGAAGGATTCCCAAGTTGACGAGCCCCTGCAGCTTCTGCCAAATGACATCGCCCGAGGTGCGTAGCTCCACGTCCAGGTGAAACTGGATCCACACCGTTTCGTAGTGCCTGCTCGGGTTGAAGGGCCGCACCGATCGGAAGTTCCGTATGGTCTCCCGGTTGAGCAGATTCTCGGCGTCCGTAATGTCCTGCAGGATGGACTCGGTACCAACTCCTCCACTCCCAAGGCAGCGTTCCAACGAAGGCAGTTCCAGACACTCTGACGAGTCCGTCCACTGCGTGCGCTGCGCCTTGGCTTGAAGCTCGGGATTGCTGACGAGGCCCTTGATTCTCTCTCCAGCTCCCAGAAGCTCGCGAAACATCGTGACGCGAAGGGACATGGAGAGCTTGGTCGGCTCGGATTCCACGATCTCCCTCCATGAGCGGGAGAACCGAGGCCGGGGGCTCCGGCCGAAGAGAGAGGTGGAGCCGAACGTCCGAGAGCCATGCGGGCCACCTGATGCAAACGCTGACTGTCGCAGTATGTCTGACCGGGGGGGCCAGGTGAACGCAACGAAGCGGAAGTGAAGCACACTTTTGCATGCTTTCGCCTGCACCGGCCCCCAATCCTAAAGATGAGATTAGGAGCAAAAGCCAGGTCAGAGAGTAAAAGAGCCTCGAACCCAACAAGGTTTAGCCGAGAGGCAAACCCTAAACCCTAAACGGATTTAAGGTTTTAGCGTTTAGGTTTCCGCCCCAATCCCTGATCCAAGCCTTAAGCTGTGCACGTATAGTTTAAAGAAGCCTGAAAAATCACTATTTGTTATTCTCCAGGAAGCTTCTGCTCAGGCACCAGAACGCTATTCCAACCAATCAGACTTCTATATCAGCCCTGAAATTAATCCATATATCCTTATGGTTAAGGGTACTTCATCAGTAGACCCTAGTCCGACTTTTTGCAGGTGGCCGTGATCACAGAGGCCGTTGCCTTTGTTGGCAAACGCCTCAGCATTTGGTGGGTTAGAGAGTTCTAAAGCACGGCTTGAGATTTGGGGAGTACAGGCATAACCCTAAACCTTAAACCCTAAACACGAAACCATTGTAGTTTGTAATCATTTGAAGAATCCCACGCCCTGAACTCTAAACTCTAAGCCTTAAATCCTAGAATCCCAAATCCCACTACTTAAAGCCCAGCAAGACAGACGCCGAACAGCGTTTCGGCTCCACCTGCCGAAGTCGCTGCGGCTGCTCTGCGCTGGAGCGGCCGCACCTGTGCCGAGGCTGGGGATCCGTTGAAAGGCGCCTGGAGGATTCCTTGTCGAGGGTTTCGTTTAGGGTTTAGGGTTTACTAAGGTTACTAAGGTTAAACAACGGTTTAGGGTTTAGGGTTTACTAAGGGTCCCTTATGTTAATAACAATAATAACAAAAATAAGCATGATGATAATGATAACAAAAATAGTGGTAATAATAACAGTAACAATCATAATCGTATTAATAGTGATAGTAAAGAGTTCTGATGAAGTATACCTTTTCAGCAATTCTTACTAAGGATCCCTTCGACGTAAGGAGGTCTTCTCGAGGATGTCGTTGATAAGGAATCTGTAGTAGGGGCCTCAAGCATTGCCATTGCTTTTCCGTTAGGGTTCCTGAGCATTGCGATGCTAGCATCTACTCCCCCCCCCAAGTCCTATGCCTATTCTTCTTATTGTTTTGATCCCGGCATTAGAGTTTGTGGGTTCCGCTCCCCACTACACTCGGCCTTGATCCATATCTCAGTTCACTGCCACCACGCCAGACCGTCGGGTTTCGTGTTAACGGCCCTCAGAGTTCGTGGTTCAACGCCGCACCTTGGGGGTTCGGCCGGCGGGGTGGGGGCCCAGAGAGCCCAATACCCCTTAACTAAGGAATATACCTTAAATTATAGGGGCCTTAATACCATGATTTATAAGGTATATTCCTTAATTAAGGGGTATTGTGGAGGGGGGGCGAAGATCGGGCGCCCTACAGCCCCAACCCCTAGCAGCAGCTTCTGGAAGGAAGGCGATGTCGTTTTACCGGGCGATGTCGCGCTGCCTCCTCCGAGGCTGAAATCCAAAGGAGGTTTGATCCATGTGAGCTTTAGTTTTTTGTGGGTGGGTATTTTCACGGTTCTCATGCTATTTAGGACCTTGGGCGGGTTTTGGGTTTATGGGAACGCAGGGTGTGGATTTTGATCGTTTTGGGGTTTGGGGGCACGGTTTGGGTTCTAGTGCCCGGGCTGCAGGTTCAGTGGAGTTGCAGGTTCACGGGGTCTGGGCCTACACGTAGGCTCCATAGTAGTTCCTTTTGGGATTACCTTATAGGATCCTAAATACAAGCCACAAAAAGGGAACTACTATGGAGCCTATGGGTATGTTTTAGAGGGGAGGAGTTCTCTGGTTCTGTTTTGCGAAAGGAGGTCTCGGCTTCAAGATTTGGGGGGATAGGGGCATCACAGCCCTCGGGGTTTGTTTGGTCTGAAGCTTGCGGATTCATGGGCTGAGGGGGGGGGGGGGTACGGGTAATGACAGGGCCGTGCTGTACCATAGTTCGAACAAGGAGCCCCCCCAAAACCCTATTCTAATTAGTAAGACCGAGGTCTCGGTTTAGCGTAGGGGTCGGATTTGTTCGCAATTCCGCTCCCATCATGAGGAAAGAGAGGGACATCGGCAGGGAATCTGATGATCATCGTGCTATCTCGTGCTCCCATTGCTGCTTGATGCTTTACTGTTTGGGTCGCCATGTATGGGGATGTCATCTGGGGTGTAGGGTTTAGCCGCTTCGGGTTTATTTGGATCCTTAAGAACCTCCGTGTCCAGGGTTCCTTATTATGATTTCCTTGCATAAGTCCTTAAAGAGGTAGGTTCTTCGGGGTCTAGGTAGGGTTTGTCATTTAGGGGCCGGTGAATGTGGACAGGAATGGCCGTGGAGAGGGCAGTCGTGCCATGGTACCACGAGGACGCCAGACCAAGCTCAAGCTCCAAAACCCTAGACCCTAAACCCTGAACTCTGAACCCTAGACCCTAAACCCTAACTAGGCCCAGCACTAAAAGGTTTTGGAGTTTGGGCTGCAGGGCTTTACAAGCCGAAGGTCAGAGGTTGGTTTAGGGGCTTACGGTGTAATACAGGGGCCTAAATAAAATTACCGATACTAGTTTGGGGGTTTCCCTATTATAGATAAAGTATATTGGGCCCCAAAACCCTTTTCTAATCTTTACGGCCCCCATGTTAGCTTGGTTCGGAGTGTAGTGGCAGTATCATGCATCCGTATGCCTTGTTTGATGTAAGTGCGGCGGCAGTCAGAAGTGAACAACCCAATCAAGACCTTACCGAAGCTGGGTCATCTACTCCATGTGCATCTAAATTTGCACAATTAAATGAACACCCACTTACAGTCTCTTCACGGTGTAGATGTTGGGTCAGGCAGTTAAGAGGAAACAGCCACGCTTTTTTTGCATTTTAGGGGTTGTTTTTCTGACCTGGGATTTGCAGGGTTTCATGGTTTAGGGTTTTAGATTTATAGAGTTTAGGATTTAGGGTTTCATGGTTTAGATTCTGCCAGGGGCCTTTGCAAGCTTGGGAATTTCTGGCGGCTTCAGCTTCGGGTGCAGGATGCGGTTTTGGACTTGCGTTCTTTTTGGGGTTGGGAGGGCGTGCTTTGGGTCGAAACCGCAAGTCCCTAGATCCTCAACCCGGGGGAAGAGTCCAAACCTCAAGCCCCTGTACCCTCAACTCGAACAGCTCTTAGCGTACCCCCTGCAAGACCTTCCCAACTTCCCAACACTCTTATAGGAACCCGTCTTAATATCTCGAAAACACTAGGCCCCAAAAAACACGCTCAAGCCAACCTCCGGGTTTTCAATCTAGATTGAGGATGATAGATCGAAGTGTTAAGGGCTCAGGGCTTGGGCTCGAGGCCCGAACCGTCGAGACGCCAGGGACCCGAAAAGCTGCGATGACTTGAGCCATCGGCCATCCACCTGCAACCTGCCTTAAACCCCTAAACTCCAAAGCCCTAAACCCTAAGCCCTCAAGTTGTCCGTCACCGGAAGCAGGAGCAAGTTTTGAGCCCGTGGCAGGCGCAAAGCCCAAGGGTACTCCAGGGTGCAGGGTTAAGGGTTTGCCGTGAGTAGCACGTAGGCGGTCATATCTTGCGAGAAGGTTCTGTGGCTGGAGTGCATCCTACGTGGGCGGCCTATGCCGAGAGTTTAGGGTTTAGGGGTTAGGGTTAGGGCCTAGTAACGACGATGATATTGTTCCTGACGGCTCCGCAAAACAACAATGCTAGAGCACACCCAAAACCCTCTTCTCGTTCATACAGGCCCCATGAGTCAGGGCGCGCAGCGTTTAGGGGTTTGGGTTTTCGGGTCAGAGATTGACTTTGAGGTTGAGAGCGCCCGGATGGAGACAAATCTACGGCTCCAGAGCAGGTCCTAAACTCCAAGGCCCAAGCTCTACACCCCAATACTCTTCAGAAAAAGCTCTAAAGGAATCTAGAAGCCCAGGTAGTTTTCAATAACATTCTCCCTTAGGGTTCCGTATGGTAGTTCCTGCGTCTATGATGAAGGCCCTGCATTACATGAGCGCCAAGCCTATACCCTAAATCACCAGGAGCCCTATAAACCTTTAATACATCGGTGCAGGCATTTTGCCGGAACTCCGTTTATCCCGTCTGGTTCAAGTACGTCAAGGCCCTGCACGAGCGATTCGGATTTTGTGGAGGCTTCAGGCTGAAGGAGAAGCCCGCTTCAAGGTTTGTGGGATTTTCGCGTGTAGGGTGTGGGATTTTGAGCTTAAGTTTTGGGGCTCAGGTTTCACCTTAGCAAGCCCCTGACACTTCGGCGTTGAAGGCTAAGGGCTTAGGTTAAAACGTCTGGGGTTTTGCGGTGTAGCATTCTCCCCTTCTAAAGAGGGAAGCAGATTCTATTTTCAAGGCCTCGATGCTCAACCTTAGAGTAACCCTTATAAGACCCCTGCCAAAGCACCCCCCGAAAGGAAGCCCTGTTCCAACTTTCTAAGGCTCCAATCTTGGAGCCCGTAAGCCCCAAAAACCCCAAGCCCCCAAAGCCTAAGCCCGAAAAACCCAAAAGGCGCCCAAGAACCTAAAACTTTCAAGCTCTAGACCCTAAACCCTAAACCCTAAGCCCTAAGCCCTAAACCCTAAGCCCTAGGCCCTAGGCCCTAAACCCTAGGGGCCGATGGAGCGCTATCAGTACGAGCACACGGTGGCGGAGCTCCGGGGCTATGGATTAATGCAGGTGCGGCCAGGGGATCTACAGAGGGTTTTTGGTCAGCATTCGAACGTTTTTTTGTTAACGGTTTTGGCGGCTGATTCAATTGCTTCAAGAGTTCGAAGTTTTATTGTTTTGTTTTGTGGGTTTCTGCCTTTACAAGGGTTTTAGGCTGTTTATACATGTAGGCTGCCGCCATCCTTTTTTTTTGTTCGCCAGCTAGCGGGTTCCTCCCAAAGCCGAAGACCCTGCAAAGTCCCGGTTCCGAACAGTTTAGTTTTCAGGGTCTAGGGTTTAGGGTTTCGTTGAAGAGGCGCCGGCCCAACTCCTAAGGAACCAGCCCTGCGCAAGGTACCAATCCGAGTTTCGCATGTAATATAGGTGCCTAAATAATAACCATAACTACGGTTGATGATATAAATCCTGCATTGCCCATAATAAGGAATATACCATAATTCCCACATAATAGGTAATGCAGGGTTTGTATCATCAATACTATTTTGGGGGCTCCAGAACCCTATTCTAATCCCTTTTTTTGGGGTGAGGGGGGTTCCCAGCTTGAGGTTACGGATCTCCGGTCCAGGGGATGGGTTTTTGGTTCCCAGGCCCATCGCCTGGGGCATAGAAGCTTTAACGTTGGGCTTTTCGGGGTGCACTATAAAATCTAAAATCCGACAGCACCCCTTCCGAAGCCCAGGAGACCTTACAAAGACTCGCATAGAAAACCCTCTAGACGCCGACAAGGAAACCCAAGGCGAAGCGTCCTCTTCTCTTTTTCTAAAGAGAACTCCTCCCCTTTGGTGTGCAGCGGTCCTAGTTTATTCGGGCTTATAATCAGAGCCGACAAAAGAAGTGGGTTTTGGTAGGTTAGGGTACGGTATTGGGGCCTGCCGGTCCTCCGTCCGCAAGGATGACCAGCACAATGACAAGGACTCTGGCTTTTTTTTGGGGGTCAGGGCTAGGGCCGAAGATTCTCAGAGTCTCAGCTTGAGGGTTTAGGGTTTTCCAGGCGTAGTCGAAGCCTTATCTCCTGAATACTCAACGCTAGATAGCGTACAAAGATCCCTCTAGCTTCTGCCCTAGCCGCCCTTAAAACCCGAGGCAGCGTCTCCAGACCGATGTGCCTTCAAGGGAGCTCAGGGTTTAAGGTTCACAATGCTCAGGGGCTTTGGGGTTGAGGATTTTCTGCATTTTCGCGGTGCCGGAGTCTAGGCTTTATAGAGTCTAGGGTTTCAGGGTTGCAGTTCAAGGGGCTAAGGGTTTCGCGGGTTTTGAGGATTTAGGTTAGGGCTGTGAGCACGAAGGATGCTGTGCATTCCAGGAGCCCGTGATCGAGAGGGCGCTGGAACTTCTGCCGCATGTCGGGCACCAAGTGCGCAGCACTGCGAGGTTGATGCAAAGTTTAGAGTTCCAGGTTTGGGACGTTGGGTATAGGGTTTGGGGTTACGCAGTAAGATGCGAGGTTCAGGGTTTGGGGCAATTGTGGGTTTGCAGTGCTTAGTGTTTTGGACATAATTCATAATAAGGTAGGCTGATGTAAGCTGCAGTACAATGCCGGAAGTGTTGAGATCGTCTTCATCTTTTCCTTTTGTTGGGTCCTGAGGAAGCCGCTAGAACATGCAAGTACTGAAGCTCCTACCGTTACGGCTTCCAGTTTGCAGGTGTTCGGGGCTTAGTCACGGGAGGGGCGGGTTCTCTCCGTGGACGCTCAATAAAAGGCTAGATCCTGCTCCCAAGCCGTAGGCATGGAGTTTCTGGTTCAGGGTTTCCTTGTAAGCCCACACTCCACACCCCAAAACCTAAAGCCACGACCCGACATTGTCGTCTCGCCCGACACACCGCATCAACGAACATAGTTAGGCCTTGTAGGTTTTACGCACATTGAGCTTTATTCGGGGTTTTGGAAGCCTTAAGCCCTGAACGGCCTTCGCCTTGCTCCGTTCTGGCTCTTGCGGGCCGTCTCGCAGTGTGGTCCTGCGTTGGAGTTCCCACCGCCAGGCAGAGTGTTGCATGTGGGGGCGGAGGAGGTGTAGGGTGTTGGGTTTATTGGGGTTTAGGGTTTAGGGTTTTTTGATCCCTCACCCGGTTTATTAATTGGGGTTTGGGATTCAGGTTTAGGGGGTTTTTAGCCAGGGCGCGGGCCTTTCAGTTTTGTTTGGGGAGCTCTGGGACGCAGACACGAAGTTTGGGTTTGAGTCTTCGGAGCTATGCGTGATAAGGGGGGCTTCCTTGTAGGTCGTGAGGGTTTGGTTGGGAGTTTGGTTGGGGAGCGGCTCGGCTGAACTAATTAGGTGGCACTCTGGGGTATCCTGGAATTTCCCTTGTCGTGGTAACTATTCATGTGGGTAGTTTTCTAAATTAGGGTGCCTGTTGAGATCCCCAGGAGGGTACGGCACCCGTATATAAAGGAGCTGAAAAGGGACCCTAATTTTCAGAACTACCCTTTATAGAATCCTTCTAGTAACCTTCTAGAAAGCCTATAGAAACCCTTTTATAGATCCCTTTAAGGAACCCTGAACCCTAAACCCTAAACCCTGAACCCTGAAGCCCCGAAGCCCCGAAGCCCCGAACCCCAGCCGTCCACCCCTGCCCGCGAGCCCGAAGCCCGAAGCCCCGAAACTGTACGACTAGTATCAATATGACCACTAGTGTCAACAATTTTATTAACAAAGCTGTTCTTTTTTGTTATTAACTACTGTTGATTATTATTGAATGTTGCTAATTCTTATTAATTCTTCTTGGTTCTTATTAACTATTATGAAATATTTTTAGGTAGTATTATTTTGTATCATAGTTATTATTAATTATTATTAAGCATTATTAAATGAATTATACTTAATTATTATAGGCGGGTAAAGTCATTACTGATAAATTGTGTTTGATTATTAAGCTCACTATTGTTACTTATTGTTGATTACTATTAATCAGCTCATATTACCTGAATTAGACCTCGAAACTCTACAAGCCCGCAGTACCACGGCCCTGCGAAATCTGGTCTGTGCAGAGAGGTCCCAAGAAGGCAGGCCGGCCGGGTAGGTCAGAGCAGAGTGTGGTGTTGAGGATCATGTAGTGGTTGGGTTTAGGGGGTTAGGGTTTATAGGGTTCAGGGTTTAGGGTTTAGGGGGTTAGGGTTTATAGGGCTTGGGGTATAGGATCGTTCAAGAATCCTGTTTAGGGCTGGTGTTGGGTTTTTCAGCGTTTAGGGTTTGCGGATTGGGGCAGGGCTGGGCAGTCTGGGGGGCTGCAAGATAGAACAGCCACAGCTCGTGCGCCAGAGCCTCACTTTCGTCGAATTGGACGTTTGACAGTGAGATTATGAGTGTTTTCTCTTCACTCAGACTGACTGCAACGGGTACTATGCAGTTTACAATAAAGAGGTTTCTATAACTGTTACTACAAAGAGTCCTTACCTTTTAAGGGGAGTGCTGCACGATTGCGAATATCGGCGGCTTATATATCCCAGGATGATGCGTTCCAACTCCCGCTTCGGCGTGCTTTTGATCGCGCTTCTGCTGGCCGCGCTGAGCTCAGCTTCCTGCGGCTTGGGGTTACTGTAAGAGTTCCTTTAAAGGGCTTCCTGCGGCTTGGGGTTACTGTAAGGGTCCCTTTAAAGAGCTACTATACCGGTTCCTTCACGGAGTTCAGGGTCGAAGGTAATGGAGGGTTTAGGGCAGCAGAACCCGAAGAGCCCCAATAAGGCCCTGAACCATAATAAACCCGTAAGTCCCGATGCCCCTAAACCCCTGAACACCCAAAGCTCTAAAACTTAAGCCCCATGGACCCCTAACCCTAAACCCTAAACGCCCTAAACTCCCTGAGACCACACAGTGCTCTTTGAGGTCCTCGTGAGGCGCGTCTACGCCATCGAGCCCGTGCCAGTCGCATTTCAGGGATCCGCTGCGACGAGGCTGCGATGCGGCTCCAACAGGGTGACCGAGCCGGCACTGGAAAACTAAGAAGTCTTGAGGACAGTGGGGTGGAGTCTTAGAGTAGAGGTTGAATCGAGCTGGCTAGACTAGGCTAGACCAGATGAGGCAAGACTAGAGTGGAGTGGAATGGAGTGGCGTGGAGCGGAGTTGAGCGCAGGTAGAGTAGAGTAGAACATATCACGCAACTCTGTTACACCACATTGCCTACATACGATTAAACTTTGTCATGGCTAATCTCGAGAGCAACCCAGCCGTTCTTCAGAGATTCATAGCGACTCCATCCTTTTTGTTTGTGCTTCTGTCGCAGGGCCCCGCTGTCAAGCATGCAGCCCTTGAGCAGAGCAGCTCCTTGGGACCTGGAGAGCTGGAAGAAGTGAGGGCGACCCTCTCGAGAGGAAGAGCCGGGAAAAGGAGCCGGGGTCCCTATGTGAGGATGACGCAGGTGTCTGAGATCTCTATCAAAAAATAAGGTCCTTGCGGGTCATGATGGGAATAGAAGCCCAAAGGTCAGCATATGGTAGTTATATAAGGCTAGCCGACGAGGTTGCGTCATTGTTACTTTGCATCTAGGTGTCCGGCTTAGGCCCAGAAGCCAGCGATTGTACAAAGGCTCACAGCCGAAACGGCCTGGCCAGAGCCAGGTGACGTGGCCCTGTGCGAAAGATGGGATCCTGCCAGTGGCGAAAGCCGAGAATGACAGGAACAGGGCCCATGTCCTGAATTTGACCCATGGAACCTAGAGTTAGATCCTTATATGGCTTTTCACTACTGGCTTGAAGCACCTGTACAGTGAACTTACAGCAGCTGCGAAGCTCCACTCCCCGAGCGCGCCTGACCGGAGGTGTTCCGGCTTTGAAGTTCGCGAAAGGGCGCTCTCAGCGTGAAGAATGGGGGTTTATGAGGCCTGGAAGCCCTGACACCCTGTAGGGCCCAAACCCCAAACCTACCTAAACCGTAAACCCCATAAAGTATGAGGAACCTAAGCTCTCAACCCTAAACCCTAAACCCCTAAACCCTAAACTCCCTAAACCCTAAGCCCCAAAACCCTAAAGTTTCTTGTCAAACACCACC